TTTGATTTTTTAATTTTTAACATAAATTTTAAATAAAAATTTAACTTTATTATTATCTAATTTTAATAAATTACCATAAGTGTATTTATTAATATACAAAAATAAGTGTATTTATTGTATTTATTATTATTAATATACAAAAATAAAAAATAAAATTAACTTTATTATTATCTAATTAAAAATATATGTATGATATAATATTAAAATTAATATTAAATTTTTATATAAATTAATGTTTAAAATTTTAATTTATTATATTCTTAATCTCTAAACAAATTCAAATTAAAAAAATATAGCAAGTAAAGTTAAGCAAAGCTAGTAGTATCATTTAAAAAACCTAATAGAAAATGACACACATCTATCCTGACCTTTTTAGCTGTTTGGTTTGAGGTCCAGAGTACATGTGGGGTTTAGCTTTGTCATTCACGCTGTCGCCCGCTTAATAGCGTTGGTAAAGAGTCGTCAAATACAATGGTTATCGGTAATTAAGTGGGAAGAGCATGTCCAATGCTTGTTTTTTCTTTTGGGTCCTCATCGACAGAAAAATGGTGTCTCTATCTAGGAGGCAGTCACACATTCTTTTTTTTTTTTTAATTATTTTCGGTCCATTTTTATAATTTTTTAGTGTAAACGTAATATTAATATAATTTTTTAAAGTCTCCTGTTGGTCTTAACATTAGAGTCGAAAATCTCACGTTTAAAGTAAAAAATAATAATATATTTCAAAAAATAAAGTAAAAAATAATAATATAAATAGTACCAATAATCTGATTAATTTGATAATAATTTTTTAATAAAAATAAAAAATTTTAAATTTACATCAAAAGTAGAATAAATTAATAAAAAGAAAAGGATCATTTCTTATAGCTGAAAATTATTTTACTAAATAAATTGTATATAATCCGTCTTATAAAATTATTTAAATATTTTTAAAAATTAATATAAAAATAAAATTAAAAACAATTAAATAATTTTATAAGGCAAACACTATAAAACAGTTTTCTCAATGCGTGATAATGCACGATTTAGAGAGTATTACATTAGAGATGCACAAAGGCCTAAGGCCATATCTATTAGGGTATCCCATGTGGAGCACGGCATCCCCCTACCTTGTTTTTTATTTTTATTTTTTTAATTAAAAATGAAATTTTAAAAATATAAATTAAATGAAATAATATTTATGGAATTTTTGTGAAGCCCATATTGAGTTTCTCCATTGGAGAGGAGAATCTCCTTTTGAGTTTTTAAATGTAAATTAAATAAAATAATATAAATCATACTGATGCGATGAAGAATTCCCAATAAAGATGTTCTAAGATTCAAGACTTGATGCACCTGGACCTCACGGCCTAACGACCTTAGGTCGGCTTATAAGGTGCATCCTCTCAACCCGAGGGCAGGGGTTCGAGTCCCCCCTCCCCCCCTTGTTAAAAAAAAAAAAAAAAAAAAAAATTCAAGACTTGATCTTCACTAAACAGGACTTTTCAATTTTTTAAATAC